CTTTACTAAGGAAACCCATCAACAGTGTAATTAAAACGCTGAAATGTAAATACTGATTTCATATCTGTAATACAAGATTAGATACAGCTCTATTTTGTAGTAGCTTTGATCACGTAAGTATTATGAAATATTTACTCTATATTTATGTAAATTTTCCACTCCTTTCCTTCCTTATTAAGCTGGTACCCCTCCCACCCTCTCTGCCACCCATACCACCTACTTCCTTTCCCTCCTTTCCCCTCTCACCTCTCACATCTCCCCCATACCTCCCTCTCTCTTCCCTCCCAAAACAACACCTCCCTCCCCCTCCCCTCCTCCCATCTCTCACATCAGCCCCCACCTCCCCTCCCTCCCTCACCCAGGTCTTCATTAGTGAGACAGAGATAATGATCGCTGTTGCCCCAGGTGTAAGTTTCCTCCAGGTATAAGCACATAATTAATAACCTTTACACGACAGGTAACTTGGTCTATCTGTCTAAATAATATGTGGAACAATTATGGCGTCTAGTGTACTTTATAGTTAAATTCACAGGTATAATCCGATGCAGATGTTAAATGTTGAGTTATAGCAGAAATAATAATAATAATAATAATAATAATAATAATAATAATAATAATAATAATAAACCAGCCTCGCCAGAACCAACACATACCACCTAAAACAATATTTACTTTACATCTCTATTTAACTTTTATATTATTTGTCTATTTTTTTCCTCTCTTATTATATTACTTGGTGTAAAATAAACACTGTGTTCGTATACGTAACAAAAACACAAAAATCCGAACATTTCAACAATTCACACGAGATTGTGTTTGTTTTCTCGCGTAAAAATCCAAATTACTTTTTTTCTTTCATTTGTAATATGTCATTCAATTGTCATTTTTTTATTAGTTATCTACGTATTCTCTTTCTCACTCTTGCTCTCTGTCCAGTCTCTCACTCTCTATCATTCCCTCTTTTCCTTCCTTCTCTACCTCCTCCTTCCCTCTTCCCCTTTCTCCTCTCTTCCTTTCCTCCTCTATCTGCTCCCCTCTCCTTCTTTCCTCCTCTCCTCCTCTACCTTCAATTATCCTAAGTACATCAAAATTTCATCTACTGTTTAATCAACCTTTATACCTTCTCATCTACTAAACAACTCAATCTAACTTTCCACCGTCTAATTTCTACCCTTCTACGGAATTTCTTCCCTCTTATACTGTACAAATACATTTAAGGGAAAAAACTCCCACTTGTTTATTACCTCCGGGAATAAATTACCTGAGTTGGAATATTCCCGGGATTTGTTTTCTATTTGTATTCATTCCTAACGACAGGAATATCGGGAACCGGTGTCGGGCGGCGGTGCAGGAGTCAGTTGTTGTGAAATTGTCCTTGTGTGGTGTCTGTCTGTCTG